CTATGAAATAAATTCTAAAATAAATAAATTAGGCAATACATATGTATACATGTACATTTAAATACACTCAATACACAAATATACTTTTATTTCATAATGACACATTTATTTATATCAAGAGACTTTTATTTCATAATGACACATTTATTTATTTCAAGAGACTTGTATTTCATAATGACACATTTATTGATTTCAAGAGACTCGTATTTCATAATGACATATTTATTTATTTCAGATGACTCGTATTTCATAATGGCGCATTTATTTATTTCATGTGACTTGTATTTCATGATGAGACATTTCCATTCCTTATATGCAAATGAACGGGGCGTGGTTAGCTCACAGATCCAGACCAAAGCAACAGCACCACAACACTGACTCAATAGCTTTTGTTTCACACTCCAGTACTCTTAAGTGGTTTGCAAACTGCCAATAAACCAAACCGGTTCAAGAACCATTCTTGTGCTTTTCTGGTGCTTAACTGGTTCTTCTCTGGTCTTATCTGGTCCGCCCAATGCTGCTCTTCTGAGAGCAACCGCTCTGACAGCTCTCTCTAGTCTCTACTGGGAAACGGCTAAAAGTCCTTCTGGAGGTAAGCAACGCTACACCCAGTCTGAGAATAAAATATGTCTCGAAGGTTCGTTTTGCTTTCTTACAACGTTAAGTTAATGTTAACGTAACCTTACGTTTGCTAGGAGGCTATTGTTACGAGCTAGCTGTCTTAGCTAACAACAGTTAGCAGCTAACGTTTTCTGCAGTTTGTGTTGCCCCTGAAAAACGTGATGTAGTTATTTAAGGGTATGTTAAATTAACGTTATTTTACAAGTTGAGAGAGTTAAGTTGTGTTTAAAATCGTCAATGTAATGCACGTTAGAGGTTTTTAGTTGGACATGAAGTTAGCTAACGTTAGCTAACTCTACCAGGTTAGCATGTTAAGCTGTACTTTCTGTGGCAGCTAGCTTAATACAAAGAGGGATTTTGTGCTTCATTGCAATGCAAACTTTTCTTTGTTAATCTACCTGAAACTGTAGGGACAGTTTGTTTCTACTCAACTATACAGACCATTGTTGAGGAGATGCAAAACATACTGTCCATGAGTTGGGTCCAACATATACCAGGGTTTCCCACACATAGACTATACTTGGGCGGGCCGCCCAGGTATATTAACGGCCGCCCAAGTATATTTCGCGACCCATTTTTTAAATTTATTTTTTAATAATTTTTTTTTGTATTTTTTTTTTTGTATTCGTCCGTGACCACGACGCCATCTGCGATCGATTAACTTGTGGACAATGATCCCTCGCTCCCTTGCTCTGATCTCGCCTCGTTAAGTGGCCTGCCTCACACAGGGTGACTGGCTGTCTACATCAGGGGTGCCCACACTTTTTGGGCTGGTGAGCTACTTTTGAAATGACCAGCTCACCGAGGTCTACCAACCAAAAATAAAATCCCAAATTGCAAGGGTTGCTGAATAACACGTTTTATTTATACATGGGATAATAGGGCTGCAACAAACGACTAATTTGATAATCGATTAATCTATCGATTAATGAAACGACTAATCGACTATTCAGACTATTACTGTATGCCTTGCACAATTTCTCAAACGCTCTTGTTTAGCCATCAACTTTTAGATTTAGCTTGAGGTTGTTTTAGGCATGTGGAAACTAACAATGAAGACAATAAAGATGAATACTTGATTCAAAAATACATATATTATTAAATTAACAAATTGTGAACAAAACTAACATTGCTTTTTATTTAAATTAAATAAATAATATTTCACATCAAAAGAAACAACAATGTTTTAACAAATCGTATTAAATAATCTGATGACAGAACTGTGAACAGAATAGCTGAAACTTTAACAAAATAAAGAGTAACTAAATAACTCAGTTACCTCTAATCATTAACCCATGTTTGTATAATTGAGTTAACTCCGTGTGTTGCTGCTAACATACATAACACCTGACGTGGAAACGTTACTCGTGGATGGGGCTGCAGAGCTGCTAGAAAGACAGTGGAACCCGGTGCATTCCTCCGTCTGGATGTGGTGCACTTTTGCTAAATGTTTGACACATTGCTCGTGTTACCGCCCTCACATGCTGAACTCTCTTGGCAAGGAGCATTGTCCACCTCAAGACGGGTAACATTTAACCACACCTTGGAGCGCTTCTCTCCGCCATCTCCTCCGTGTGTTGCTGCTTGTAGCAGCCGCGTGTGTGTAAACTGCCCCGCCCCCTCGCGCACAGACGGGGGAGATAGATCTCGTCTCGATTGGAAAGATCGAAAATACACCGACATTTGTTTGTCTTTGTGCATATTAGAAACGAGTTGGCGACACTAAGATTGCGAGATAATGTTTGTGTAGCAATAATACAGACCTTTCTCTTTCTCAACTCGCTACTCGGAGGGAAGTCGCTGTCATATGCCTTGTGAACACTCCGATAATGCCTCTCCACGTTACCTTTCTTTGGCAGAGCGACGCTTGCTTTACAAATAAGGCAAATAACCTTTGAATGTGACATCACAAACAAATATTCTTCCTCCCATTCTGGGTGGAAGTGGTATGTCTTTAGCTTCTTGCTCGGTCCCGCACTCATTTTGTTGTTTGTCTCTTTAACTTAATTTGAGTTTTCCCGGCACTTGACTGATTTTGTATCGCTTTGCATTCTGGGTTAACAGACTGGAAAGCGATAGGTCGCTTTTTCTGTCAATCAAGTAAACTCCTGAATTAAGTGGCAGGGAGGCCAAGGGAGGAGGGATCAAAACCTGTTTTGTCTATTTTAACGGAACAGGATTTTTTTTTTTATGAATGACTCGCGATCTACCAGCATTGCCCCCGCGGTCCGACGTACTGGGCACCTCTGGTCTACATGATGTGGCCTGCCAACATGGCCACTGTCATAGAGATCATAAATCAAAGCCCTTGATTGGTCTCTGTGTGTCATTCAAGCTCGGGATAACCTCAGCTCAGGTGAGGTAAAGGACTCTCTGAGTGTTTAGATAGTTAACTTAGTTTAAGTTCTCAGTGGGTCTCAAACGGTGTGGTCACCATTTATGTAAACACATATTTCCATTTGAGAGGGTAGTGATTGATCTAATGCAGGGGTACTCAAATACAAATCTTAAAGGTCCAAAATAAATGTTTCAATAAGACAAAGGTCCGTTTATTACGGTCATTCAAACTTTTAAACAATTGCAACAAGATTCTTAACACGAGGTTGCAAAAACAAAAATAATCTGTATGCAGCAGTTTTCATTGTTATTGTGTCTGTGCTTGACCCCTCAGAGTCGCAGTGTAAGAGCTGCAGTTATGAATAAAGGCAGCTGCACCCTCTTTCATTCAGCATTCCCATTATTGCTTTATAAATGTATTCCCCCTTGTGTGTCCACTGAGGTTCGTCAGGCCCAACACATCTTCAACAAACTCCCCCTTTGCCTCATCATAAAACTCACAAACACCAGCAACTGAGCATTGTCAGTGGTGTCAGTGGACTCACCCACAGCTAAGGAAATGCACTGTGCATTTTTTATTCCATCACAAAGCTGATGAATCAAATCACCAGCCAGTATGTATGTTCTTCTGGTTGCTGTGCAATCTGAGAGGGGATTTGCTTGATTTGACCTGTTATTTCCTCTTTTTGTTTGCCTTCAACATGGTCGCCATCACTTCAGTCATGCATTCTTTTATACTTCAGTTATTATCCAGTGGAGAGTCCTTACCTACTGGCCTAGTTCAATCAAAGTGGTTACTTGTTTTTGGCTGGGCAGTGTAGTTTTACACACCGTCTTATTTGACTTTCTCAGGACTTAAAACTGTTTTTTGGGGGCAGACCCCCTCAAAGAAAACAATATATTTACACACGTAAGGTCATCATCTTAATAGTTTTGTATGCTCATCCATGAGCAGAGCATCAAGATGACATGTCTATTACAGCTGAATGCGGCGATTACCATCTTGTTCAGCAAAACGCCTCACAAACGTATTAAGATCAACAGCTTCAGTGCGTTTTGATTCAATGCTGAGTACAGTCAAACTGACAGTCTCTTCTCTGTCATTGTAGACCGCAAATACCTCATTCCTTCAGTGCTTGGGTCCGAATGCTTCTCGTTTTGCGCCGTCCAGTTCAAAATTAAATCGCCGCAAATCGTATGTCCACGCTCGCGCCACGACCGGGGGAGGGGTTACATGACGTGCATCTTGTGCTGCATTCACTTGCACTCGGACATTAGAGACTTTCTCTCATAAATGTCCGATGAGCCACAACTTTTCTTTCAAAACAAAGCTGCCAACTGGGGTGGCAGCTGGGGTGGCAAGGCCTATTTTTAGGGTGGCAGTTGCCACCCCGGTAGGTGAAACTAGGCTACTAGCTACAGTACAGATGGAACTAGATGAGCTGTTAACTCTCGCTCTGATTTTTTTTTTTTTAATTCTCGCTCTGACTTAGACAGGTTGAAAGAGACACACACATTTTCCCCACCCGCATTCCGCGAAGACCCGCCCTACTGTGCCTCTGATTCGCAGATTGTTTGGGGGGAAAAAACACTGACTGGATGCTGAATGTGATTGGACCAAAGCGTTGACACACACAGGTGGAACACAGTGGAACAGTCAGACATGCAGAGCGCTGTTTGCAGTGGACATAGCGGATAATTTTGACTCGTTGCGAATGCGTTGTGGCGATGTCTCACATATAATACAGAGAGATAATACATATGAAAAGTATAATTTGCTCAGAGTCCGGAGACAGTGGTGGTTCGGTCCGGATCCGGACCGGAGTCCGTAGTTTGAGGATGCCTGATCTAATGGATAGTGAGGTGGGCTGAAGATCGGAAGGCTGTGAGTTCAAATCCCGCCAGGAACACCACCACTAGTGTGCCCTTGAGTGCCATCTTTACGCAAAATGATTATACAAAATGATTATACAAAATGAAAACTTTTTTTTTTTTTGCGCAAAGTTTTTAACTTTTTAAATATGATTGTTTTGGGGCATTTCAGTTTTATTGGACAGAGGCAGTAGATATCTACTGGAAACAGTAGAGAGGGAGGAGATGATATGCAGCATACGGCCCAGCCGGATGGTTGCTGCTCCGTGTGGAACGTGTTCTATCAGGTAAAGCACTTTGTCAGTGAGGCTGTCCAACAACATCATCTCCGACCCAAACCATGTTCTGAACAGTGAATATGAACTGCTACCATCTAATCGGAGATACAGGGTCCCACGATTCAATAAAGTCAGACTGAAGCACTCCTTTGTGCATCAGTCAGTCCTCACAGTATACAGAGCTAAATCCCAGACCAAATGCACGCTGAAGGCTCTTTGAGCATGTTTTTCTCTCACTGATTGTGCAGTTATGTTAAATGTTTGTGTTTCATGTATTTGTGTATGCATATTTGTCTGTTGATGTTGGACATGGAGCTGCTGTGACGCAAGTCAAATTTCAGACTTGATCTGACAATAAAGTAATATCGTATCGTATCGTATTGGTACCCAGTTATTTATGGTATTGAGTTTGAATTTAGCCTTTGCAATGTAATTTCCAACAGTGCATTGTAAAGACTGAAAGATGTAAAGCTTGACATGATTTCGTCTTTTACTTAAGAAGGTGTTTGTCCTCCTGTCTTCTCTTATTTCCTTATCTTTCTTTCAGGTGTAACATCTACCAATGGTTGTACATGACAGAGACCTCCTCCACCTCTTTGCTGTCTTACTAGTCAATCCTTCTGATCAGGTCCTTTCCTAAATAGTGGTAAGTTTTACAGTTCAGTGTACGTTCAATTAGCAACTTAATGCTTTACCGCTGTTGAATAAATCCTATATTGCTAGTCATTTTATTAAAACTACGATTTGTAAACTTTTTGATTCCAATTACAATAATCTTTTTGTTATAATTGTAAAACATATCTTAACATCCATCAGCAATCAATAAAACAAATCATCCAACACTATATAGAAGAAATCTGGACATATTTTTTTTTATACAGCAGCATGTTTTGGGACTGCTCATTGATGTCATCAAGAGCCATTGAGTCTAACTTTTGTAGTCGGCCCCTTGAATGTTTATCATTCCTATAATAATTAGTTTTTTTATTGTTGATATTGTTTTGTTCTTTATTTTTGTTGTGAGAATCACTTTGCAATTATTGTGTAAGTGCTATATAAATAGTTATACTAATATTATTGTTGTTACCATCATTACTATTATTAATAGTGTCTTCTTTGTTTTCTTTATTCATCGCTGCAGAAAGGATCATGCCAGCCCACATCAAACACCTGATCAAGAACTTGTGAATCTCACTGCTGCGGACACCTGTGTGATATTCCACTCTGACTGGAACCCTCAAAATGACCTGCAGGTACGATATATATATCTGCTCTGTCTGTCCTAAAGATAGTTCAATAGGGCTACAACAACAACAACAACAGTCTTTCCGTTTATTCCCTCGGTTCTTTAAGTATATTATTTTCCCATTAAATGCTTAAAAACGTTGAACAGCAGCTGCACATGATCCTCTTTTGACCCCTCTTTTAATTTTTTATTTCAGGCTCAAGCTCGGTGTCATCGTTTTGGCCAGTCTAAGGCGGTGAAGGTGTACCGTCTGATCACTAGAAACTATGAGAGGGAAATGCTGGATAAAGCTAGTCTGAAGCTCGGGCTGGACCGTGCCGTACTGCAGAGCATGAGTGGCAACAACAACGGGGTGAGAAAAAGAAAATCTGTCATATTTCTAGATGCCAAATCATTTTTGGGTCAGTCGCTGTTGCAGTACGCTTAGTTTATTTTTTCGAAAAGAGTTTTCTAAATCCACTTGTGTAAATGTCTCTCTGCGTCGCCTTTAGCCGGTCCAGCAGTTCTCCAAGAAGGAGATCGAGGACCTGCTGAGGAAAGGAGCCTACGCCGCCATCATGGACGAGAACGACGAAGGCAATCGCTTCTGCTAGGAGGACATCGACCAGATCCTGCAGCGAAGAGCCACCATCATCACCATCACCAGGTATGTTCTTAGCAGCACTAGCCACTTGCTCTTTGTGAGACACCAAGTACTTGGTTATTTGAAATGTAATATTGATGATGTAATAATTAAAACTAGGGATGGGTACCGAGCCCCAGTATTAACGGGGCCCCGGGGCTGAATTATTAAAGACCGTGGTACCGTTAACGTCCAACGTTATCGATCTTTTTATCGGTACTGGAGACATTTCAAAAATAGATGTCATATGTATTATATCTACATAAACATTATATCGCAGTCTTACTGTCGCCAACTCCGTTTCTAATATGCAATAAGACTACAAAGTGCATCTATGATTTATTTTCGATCTTTCCAATCCAGACGAGAGATCTCTCTCCCCTGTCGGTGTGCGAGGGGGCGGGGCAGTTTACACACAGAACCTGCTACACACACACAATGGCCCAACTTTTGAGAGAGCGAAACGTCACAGATTACCCGTCATGCCTGGCTGTCAGAGCAGAAGAACCCGTTTGTGCGCTCACAGAGCATGCGCCCCTTAAGCCCCGCCCCCGAGCACACACTCTCGGCTCACTAGAATGAATGGAGAGAGAGAATACATCTAGATTCGGATTTTAGTGCATTTTACAACTTTAAGGACTTAATGATTCTAGGGCTATACAATAGTTCATACGGGGTAGTTTATTTAGTTTCAAAAAAAGTATCCACCGATTTACAGACGTCTCTTTCCCAATGTTAGTCAATGGGAAAAAGTATTTCTGGGCCGGTCGACGTCACAGACTGATAAGGAAATTGTAGTACCACCGTTTGGACACAACGAATATTTTCCTCAGAGTCCGGCACACTTCCTGGGGGCTTGGTCTTGAGGTGGAAAATGCTCGTTGCCAATAGTGCAATAAGAATTTAGCATGTAAGGGCGGTAACACCAGCTATTTGTCTAAACATTTAGCAAAAGTGCACCACATTCAGACGGAGGAATGCACCGGGTTCGACTGTCTTTCTAGTAGCTCTGTAGCCCCATCCACGAGTAACGTTTCCACGTCAGGTGTTATGTATGCTAGCAGCAACACACGGAGTTAACTCAATGATACAAACATGGGTTAATGATTAGAGGTAACTGAGTTATTTATTTTGTTAAAGTTTCAGCTATTCTGTTTGCAGTTCTATCATCACATAATTTAATACGATTTGTTAAAACATTGTTGTTTCTTATTTTCAGTTTGCTTCAAGCAGTGGCTGTACGAGAAAGACGTGGAAGACCAAGAAATGCTGGCCAGATTGGCAAAGACCGGAAGATACATAACAGAGAAGATAATGGATATTAACAAGAAAAAGAAAAAAAATGTTTATAATTTCTTTGTTGCGGTTTACATTTTGAATTATATTTGTTATTTTTAAATCAAATGCATCTATTTTAGATGATGTATTTATTTAGATGTAGGTTTTTTTTGTAATATTATTGTATTAAGTATAATTTATTAAATAAAAATACTGTTATGAACACTATACAATGTCTTTATTTTGATAGTTACCAGAATACATTGTATATTTAATACTAACATAAGCTGGTGATAGATAAATGCTGGTCTGCTGGTATGCCAGCAGACAAATATTTATAAAGAAAGAAACAGAAGGGAGGAAATGATGATAGCTAGACTCAGAATAAATCACACAGCATTGAATGGTACGCTGCATGTCATGGGGAAAAGTAACAGTGACAAGTGTAGGAACTGTGGAGTTAAAGAAAATGTGGAACATCTATAAAGTTGAAAGAGAAAAGCTAAAGGATAACGTTTTAGAGGCAGAGAGGGAATGGAGTGTGGTTGGTATTTTGGGAACAAAAGGAGAGGGAGAAAGAGCTACCAGAAAGGCACTGTTTACCTTTAGTGAAACTGGGGTAGGTAAAATTATCTAACATTAGGTCAGGAAAGATCATAGATTGTTGTTTTATTTATTATGTTTTTTATTTATTTATTTTTGGATTAGATCATAGATACGTCCATGAGTTAAGAGATAGAATGATATGATGATTCACACTCATGTACAGTAGGTGGCGGTATGCACCTTAAAGTTGTTTGCAATCCGCCAAAAAACCGAGAGAAGAAGAAGTCAACTGGTTTGCCAACGGACAATTTACACCGAAGAAGAAGAAGCGAACATTTCTGGCGGGTGAAATTTAGAGTATCAGATTACATGCGATGTCTGACCATGTGTCTGACTCTGAGAATTTAGTAGTTTGCCCAAGCGACAAACTCTGGGGAACAGCCGGGAAGCCAATACGGAAGTGCCACACACTGTAGTTCATACATGGGCCGCTAGGGACTGGCTGCAGAAAGGAGCAATTTCCATAGACCCCCATGTTAAAATGCCCAACTTTACAGCAGAAAAAAACATGTTTCTACCCATGGATGCAATAAATATTATTATCGATATAGTTAGATTCCACCTTCATGATTATGAATCTGTGAGTGAATTGTTTTCTAACACGACCCTTTTATTTATATTAGGTCTTAACGTTTTTGCATAAATTAGGGCGTGGTCACGTTGATGGACACGTACATGCCTCACTGTCAGCTAACCAACTTGTCCACTCTGCTAGGCTACAACCATAGAGGCTACAACGTTAGTTAGTCATAGTACTGTACTTGACCCTTTAGCCGTGTTCGTGGTGATTGTGCCTTTTAGGGAATATTGTTACAAATACCAGACAATTAAAATGTCGTGCTGTGCACTTGAATGTACTAACAGAACTTCCAAGAAATCTAAAATTATAATATTATACATGTTAACCCCGTTCGCAGGTGTTTGTGTGCTTGGTAGCTTAGCTTGTTACTTATTAGCCAGCTAAGGACGTAAGCCTTTATGCATACATATACATTTTAGTTTATGATTCAGCCTTGGGTAAGACTTTTATAGTCTATGGCTATGACGCCCATAATGCTAAACGGGAGCAAATGTTAATAGGGGACCCAATTATCCCAGTGGTGGCCGCCGGAGCTAACGGAGCCGCAGGGGGCTAGCTCCAGCCGGCGTCCCGGAGCTAGCCCACTGCGGCTCCGTTAGGTCCGGACGGTGGAGTCCGTCTTTTCTCAACGTGTGAATGACAAGCATTAAGAATAACAAAATATAGCTAATTCTCTTGCAGATTGTCTCATTTGATTATGAATGTAACGTTTATATGGTTTGCTACCGTCGACAGACTAACTAACCCCCCAGTGTCAGTAGCCTCTGAATTTCTATCCACCAGGGCGTGCAATGATTTTGCCTCTTTCTTCACTGACAACATTCAGAAAATCAGACAAGCAGTCAGTGCCTCTGCATCAGGAACAGCGAATGTGTTGTCTCTGTGTCCACTTAACATCAATTCAAACACCATGACACAATTCCATCAGATTAATGATAAAAACCTAGAGGACATTATTCAACTTCTGAAATCCTCCTCCTGCTGCCTTGATATTATTCCAACAGGATTTTTCAAAGATGTTTTGCCTTGCATGGCCTCAGATCTACTTCATATCGTAAACAAATCTCTTCACTCAGGTATTTTTCCACAGGCCCTGAAAACTGCAGTCATTAAACCGCTCTTAAAAAAGAATAATCTAGATGCTTCAGTAATGAACAATTACAGGCCCATATCAAACCTCCCATTTCTAGGTAAAATCATTGAAAAAGTTGTTTTTCAACAGTTGAGTAATTTCTTGCATTTAAATAACTGTTTTGATGTGTTCCAGTCAGGTTTTCGTCCAAACCACAGCACTGAGACTGCTCTTGTAAAGGTCTTTAATGACATCCACTTAAACACAGACAGTGGCAGAACTTCAATGTTAGTATTATTAGATCTCAGTGCTGCGTTTGACACTGTTGACCACAACATATTACTAGATCGACTGGAGAACTGGGTGGGACTTTCGGAAACAATTCTAAATTGGTTTGAATCCCACTTAAAGGACAGAAACAACTTTGTTTCTATAGGTAAATACACATCTGAGTTGACAAATATGACATGTGGGGTACCTCAAGGCTCCATCTTGGGGCCTCTTCTCTTTAACGTCTACATGCTACCACTGGCTCAGATAATGAAGAACAACAAAATAAGTTACCATAGCTATGCAGATGACACACACATTTACGTAACAATTTCACCAGGAGACTATGCTCCAATTCAAACACTGAGTAAGTGCATTGAACAAATCAATGACTGGATGTGTCAGAACTTTCTCCAATTAAACAAAGATACAACTGAGGTAATGGTTTTTGGAGCCATGGCAGAATGTATAAAAGTTAGCGCTGAGCTTCAGTCTGCAACGTTCAAAACAACAGATAAAGCCAGAAATCTAGGTGTAGTCATGGACTCTGACCTGAGTTTCAACAGTCACATTAAAACAGTTACTAAATCAGCCTACTATCACCTAAAGTATATATCCAGGATTAAAAGACTAATGTCACAGCAGGATTTGGAAAAACGTGTCCATGCTTTTATCTTCAGTAGACTGGACTACTGCAATGGTGTCTTCACAGGTCTCACTACAAAATCTATTAGAAAGCTGCAGCTGATTCAGAACGCTGCTGCTCGAGTCCTCACTAACACTAAGAAAGTGGATCACATCACTTCTGTTCTGAAGTCTTTACACTGGCTTCCTGTGTGTCAAAGAATAGATTTCAAAATACTGCTGCTGGTTTATAAAGCACTGAATGGTTTAGGCCAAAAATACATTTCTGACCTCCTGCTAAATTATGAACCATCCAGATCTCTCAGGTCTTCAGGGACTGGTCAGCTTTCTGTCCCCAGAGTCAGAACTAAACATGGTAAAGCAGCGTTCAGTTATTATGCTCCAAATATCTGGAACAAACTCCCAGAAACCTGCAGGTCCGCTGCAACTCTGACTACTTTTAAATCCAGGCTGAAGGCTTTTCTTTTTGTCGCTGCTTTTAATTGAACTATTCATATCTTAGACTGCACTGTAACTTTTATCCATGTATTTTTTTCTTTTAATGTTTATTTTATTAGCTTTTCTTTTTAATGACTGATTTTAAATGCCATTTTCTTAATGTCTTTCATTTTTTGTAAAGCACTTTGAATTGCCTTGTGTTGAAAAAAGTGCTATATAAATAAACTTAACTTGCCTTGCCTTGCCTTATATAGGGGAACGACACTGTTAGCAGTAACTTGGTATGCATGTATTTCATGTTAGCTTAGCTTCTTAGCCTGAGCTAGCTCTGTTTACTTCCAGTTCGGAGGCAGCATTTAGGATTAGACTCTGACGTCACAGTCGAGCCGTTAGTGGCCGACTCCGCCTACTAAGGGCTTCACGGCAACTCTGCAGAATCCTATGGGTGACGTCACGGACACTACGTCCATTTATATATACAGTCTATGAGTTTGCCTTATAGTCAGGGGTGCACATAACTTTTTTGCCCTGGTTCTCAAAGGAGCACCTGGAGATGTTGCTTGGTGCTCATCCTTAAAATGAAATAAACCGTAACTTTTGAAGGGGTCTTGACTTTATTTGCCAGACACACGGCACTGAACACACATGCAGAGGTGAACACAGAACACACATGCAGAGGTGAACACAGAACACACATGCAGAGGTGAACACAGAACACACATGCAGAGGTGAACACAAGACAACATTAGCACGACCAGTAATCCTACAAGCTGTCATCACTACCCTCCTGACTGTTCTCCTCACTGTCTTCCTCTCTGTCAGACATGGTAGCTGATGATGTAGGCCTACTTCTTTCTCTCTGGTTGAGTCTGTGATTAGCTGCTTGCATCCACAAGTCAACAGCTGGGTTTGGGTCGAAAGTCTCTGTTGTCATCTTAGACAAGTGGATGTAATCAAATAAGTATGTGAACATAACCAATAACCTACCATAGCCAATAACAAATTAATGTAACTTATTTTATTTGTGTTGTTCATTCATATCTTATTTTACCTTAACATTTATTTATGCATTTTTTTTAATCTCTCCAGTTTTAAAGGATATTTTTGGTTACTGTCCTATAGTATACATTGGAATGATTTAAAACCTGTTTATCCGAATAATTACAAAGGAGTGCCTTGGAAATATGTGTTTACATAAATTGCGACCAAACCGTTTGAACTTAGACTAAAGTGAACTATCTAAACACTCAAGAGTCCTTTACCTCACTGAGCTGTAGTTATCAGTCTGACTGGAGAGGACTCTCCCTCCACATTATTGTAGAAACATCTTCTTCTTATATCCGTTAGAGCAGCTAGCACGGCACCAGATTCTAATAACAACAGCGCTGGTACCGGTGCACCCTCCCTCTCTCCCTCGCT